TTATCATGTTATAATGATACTTGTTATTATCATGATTATGGTTGTATGAAATAATAAAAGTAAAAAATAAATTGATTGTTTAGGTTGTTAGTGTGTGGACTATATATGAATACAAACAGGTGTACTTTTAAAGCTTAAATTATGGATTGCAAACTGTTGTTAATTTATTTCAGGAATATCTTAAACTATTAGATTTATTGTTCATACAAGGCCGTAACTACCATTGAGGCAAGTGAGGCATATGCCTCGCTAAATTTTTTGAGTTTTCTGAAAAGTCGAAAAAAAGTTTTACTTTAAACTTATGAATTATGTATGTCTTCATGCTCAATTAATATTTTCAAGTTTTGCTTCAATTTTTAAGTTGTTCATCAGGTGCCTCATTTTCATCATGATTGTAAAATATGATTCAAAATGTTTGTTTTGTAAATGATTGATAGTTTAACATCCCTTCTAGGAATTTTTCATTCATATTGAGACACCGCTACTTGGTGGGAGAGAGTTAAATCTGTACAGGGCTTTCAGGGTCACTGAAGATGATTGAACAGTGAGAGATATTAATATGCCATCACTTACTGTGACAAAAGACCTCGGTTTTTTTGGTCTCATCCAAAGGACCGGTTTTCACATCTTGCAGTGGAATTCGAACCCTTGATGTTAGGATCAAAACCTGTGTGTGCGACTCGAGCACAACTCAACCACCGACCATGTGACAGTTCAAAACGTAAAAAAATCTTCTAAAATTAAATGTCTTATTTTCTTATACCCAGGTTTCAGGATTCCCCACCCCTGAAAACCCCCATCACTGGCCATTGCACCCTTGCCTCACTAAAATTTGAGCCTAGTTACGGCCTTGTCATATACATGTATATAACTTTTTAATGAAATCTACGAGCCCGCAGGGTTGTTCGGAAAGTTCGAGGACATTTTCAATCTTTGTCATACCAGTAGCTGTACATTCAAGAAAATGAAAATAAGCATATTATCAAATGTAAAAGTACATGAATTGGTTTTGTTGAATAGTGAAGTTTTAAAGGTCAGCAACGGTGAAGGACTTTTCTCTTAATTTTCATGGAATTATTTACCAACATAAGGTTACACAGGCAACTTAGCCACATATGATTCTCATATGAGTATCATATGATTCTCATATGATTGGTTTCATATGAGAATCATAGAAAAAGGGCATCATATGTGAATCATATGAAGCAAATCATATGATTTACATATGATCCACATATGTGAATCAGATGAAAATAACTACATATGATTTGCATATGAATGATTTAAGTGTGTTTCAAGCCATTTACATATGAGAATCATATGAAAAGGGCATCATATGTAAATCATATGAAACACTTACGTGTGTTTCAAGCCATTTACATATGAGAATCATATGAAAAGGACATCATATGTAAATCATATGAAACACTTGTGTGTTCTTTTTCAATATTTTCACATTTTTGTAAAACAAGAAAAATAAAGATAAACAGCACAGACTATTTCCTAGTTGGCCTCATTTATCACCGTCAGACAATACCGAAGAAAAAATGAATGTTAAGAAACCTGATAACTGAAGCCTCAAGAATGAAGTGCAAACACTGTCTCATTCTGGGAGATTTCAACTATCCTAATATAGACTGGGATTTACTGTGTACAAAAAGTGAAAACTCTGCTGAGCAGAAATTCATAGGTTGTCTGCAGGACAACTTCATGTTCCAAACCGTCACAAAACCAACAAGGTGGAGAGGAACGAACATTCCAACCATTTTGGATCTTGTGATCACAAAGGATGAAAATGCTGTGGAGGAAATGGAATACCAAAGCCCATTAGGAAAGAGCGACCACTGTGTTATCTGCTATAACTATGTTTGCAATGCAATACTGAAAAGCGGACCAAAAAAGAGGAGGACTTATAGGAAAGCTAACTTTGCGGGTATGAAGAAGGAAATTAGCGAAACATATTGGGAAAGCATTCTGGAGTCACAGAGCACGGTAAACGAGATGTGGCGTCAATTCCGACAAAAAATTGAGGACATAGAAGATAAATATGTGCCAGTAGTCACCTTCAGACCAAGCAGAAAAACGAAAATGCCCTTGGACAAAGAAACTGTCACCTTGATTAAAGAAAAAAAACGCACTGTGCAGAAAATATGTGGCTACCAAGGATCCAAATATAAGGAAAAAGTACAATAGGACTAGGAACAAAGTGGCAAAGTTTGTGAGGAAAGCAAGGAAGTCATTCGAAAAGAGTATAGCACAAGAGGCAAAAACTAACCCAAAAAAGATATGGCAGTATAGTAACTCAAAAAGTAAAACGAGACAAGGAATTGGGGAACTGTAGACTTTAAAACCGATTACACTGGTAGTCACCCAAGTTGTCACAAAGCAAGTTTGGAGTCCGACGAAGAGGACCTTGACAGGACCTGTGTTGGAGAATACCATAAGTAACCATAAGTAAATTAGTGAATACTGTTTCATATGATTCTCATATGATCACTGTTTCATATGATTCTCATATGATCACTGTCAAATATTCATATGATTTTTACCTGAGTATAACAAGGGCAAATTAGAGAATATGGTTTCATATGATTCTCATATGATCAGTTTCATATGATTCTCATATGACCACTGCCAAAATATACATATGATTCTCATATGTAAGATCCTTCATATGAGAATCATATGTATATAACTTCATATGATTCACATATGTATGATAATATGATTCTCATATGATTGGCCACATATGATTGTCATATGATTGTATATACATATGATTCTCATATGATCCACATATGATCTTCATATGAAAGGCAATGCATATGTGGATCATATATGGCTAAATTGCCTATGTATTGGTAAAGTTTTATTCAACATGCAGACCCATTTCCTCACAGATCGTCTTTCTCTGATACAGAGTCTATATCATTCAAATATTCCCCGGGGGGCATTTACAAAAATGCACGATAGGCTTTTGACATACCGGTATTTCCTGCTCCATTTTCATGTTCTGTTCTGAATCGTTTTTCCTAGAATACAACACAAAATTGTTCATGAATTGACGTTCTATGGTGACACCCTTTTGGCCTTAATTTATATAGTTTTTTGTTTGTAAATACATGTATTGCAAATTTTAGCCTGCTCTGCGACCCAATTTTTTCAATTATTTTTTTACTTCGAATAAGTTTTAAAAAATATATTTATATAGTTAAAGTTGAAAATAAAAATCATTTGAACTTATTGTAAAAACGTTTCTACCAAATCTGGATATGATATGACGTAATGTTGAAAAAGATACCTCGATGACAGAAGCCCACGAACTTTCCGAGCAACTCTCGTAAAATGTCATAAAGATATGTAAAGACTGATTTATATAGAGAATGGCATTATTTTTATTTGAGCAACAAAGAACACGAAGAAGTGCTACGATTTCTGGATATTCCAGGGACAGACCTTACAGTGTACACGTATGATTATATGTCATTTCTATTCAGGATTTTCCCCAAAACAAGATACAATTCAGTCACAGGTAATATACATGTCAAATATGAAAGTCTTAAAAGATCTCTTCTCATTCAAAAGTTATGACCAATTAAAGTTAAAGTTCTTTGAAAACATGGAAAAGTAGGTCAAACTTTTTGGTCGAGATCAGGAGATCAACAATCATAGTGTGTTTAGCACATGCACAGTAGGTCAACAATCATAGTGTGTTTAGAAAGGTCTTATCACAGATAGCACTGTAATAATGCACATGTTAAATTTGAAAAATCTCTTCTCATCCAAAAAATCTGTATGGCCGCGGCTGTGACAGACGCGTACGGAAAGACGAATGAGATTTAATATCCCCTCGCTATATTATTGCGAAAGTGGGGGACAATTAAGAAGCAGCTATCGACGTATATTATTTTATTATTACTAATGGATAAATGGCATGTTTTGAAACATTGCATCTCCTATTTCATTTTGGTTACACATTGATTTTGAGAAAAACAAAACCAGGAAGTCGTCTCATTTTTCATTTTAATAGCATAGACGACATATAATTAAAAACAAGGTCGGTATAAATATGGTCATCTTGTTTTCGAAAATAAAACAACAGCAATCTTGAATTAAAGGTTTGTTTCTTCAACTTAAGATATTTCTGCATAAAGCCACATATTGAAGTCTTTTGAGAGAAATTCTATAATTTTACCTTAAATATTAGTTTTCAGGACTAACTTTGAAGAAATGAATTCGAGTATGACCCTGTTCCTTGTGTCACTCTGCTGTATGATGGTCATTACCAGAGCTGATTCTCCAAAGCCAAAGACCTTCCGCCATGACTATGTAACCTATAAAAATATATGCCGGGAAATGGACTGGATACCAAAGTGCGATTGTCATAAGATAACTAAGGGAGGTAATTGAATATTACAAGGAAGTCATTGATTTTATGCATAATTTATTTTGCCTACTGCTTTTTGGTAAAACTTAAAATTTTTTGCTCTAAAAATCGAACACAACATTTTAAAATATTTAAAAGTTGATCTGAATGGAGAACACACCCTGTTTTTTGCCTGTCAGTAAAAACAGAACTGATGTGATTTTAAATTCTACTGCAGTTATTGCCGAGATCAAAGAAATGTCGCGGAAATTATATTAAAAATTATTCTTCGATAAATGACGAGCGTCATCAAAAAATTTAAAGATCAGAAACACATAATACTATGTAACCTGTGCATGAAATGAATAATTCACTGTTGAATATAATTTACTTATTTATTCCATATCGATGTTTCGTATTCTATGAGGCGCCGTTTTGGTATTTACTGCCAAAATTCATTTTTAATAGGTGATATCACTTATTCGAATAAGTGATGTCAGTAATTCAAATCAAATAGCCTATCGAATAGGAGATATTACCTATTCATTATTCGAATAAGTAATATCACTTTTTGGCAGTAAACACCAAAGCGCCCCATAGTATTCGCAGTCTAGACTGAAGAGTACTCTCCGTGTTTTTAAGCAAGTCACCTGAATTTATTTGACATTCAGCACATATATAAATAAATTCAATGATTTTGATTTTAAATGAAATATTTTTAAAGAGATAAATGGGAAAATATGGTTAAATTTGAAATGTGCACATCAAATCCTATACGTGACATTTTGTTTATTTCAGGTTGTGGAAAGATTGTGGCATTTCATGCTATTCTGTCTAAAAGACTGAACAACATACCTGTTAATACAATCCTCAAATTTGAAAACGTATTGACCAATGAAGGAAAAGGATACAGCCCTACTACAGGAAAATTTACAGCACCGGTAGATGGCGTCTACTCGTTCTCATGGACCTACTCTACAAACAAAGGATCCCGTTTCTTTGTGGTTGGAGTTGTGGATGGCATAGTTCGTGCACATTTATCCAACTATGGTCAGGCAAGCGATTGGCAGAACACGACAGGACATCTTGTCATAAAATTGAAAAAAGGAAGTAAATTCTGGATTAAAACGGCAGCTCACACCTCCAAATCGATACACGAAAATTTCACTTTTCTTTCAGGCTACAAGTTGTCTGGTTGTTGAAACATGTTTTGAGAAATAAAGTGTTAATATAATTTTTTTTGCTTGTTATATTTTCTGATACTTTCATCATCTTTGATGATAATTATGAATTATATTGTGAATAACTAATACACTTCACAAACTTCTCAAAGATTAATAATATTTACGTACAATTTAGAAAAAAAGGAAAAGTATACGGAAAAAAGTTCCTCAAATGTTAACTGATAACTAGAGCCGAGCTCGTTGCAAAGCAACGAATAGGTCTTCCGTAGGAGCTACGGATAGGAAGACGTAACCTTGAGTCTAGGTCAAGCCACATTATAAAGTTATACAAGTAAGCAACCTAAAGGCTTGTAAAGGAAGAAACTTACAATGTTTCACCATGAAAAACACTGTAAAGGAATGTATGTGACCTTGAACTTTCTAAATGACCTTGCGTCAAGCAATGTTTCGCCATGAAAAATGCTGTAAAGGAATGTATGTGAACTTGAACTTTCTAAATGACCTTGCGTCATGCAATGACAAACTCTCTTATAAAAATCTAATACCGTATAATCCCTATTAACCGCCCCGGGCGCTTAGAAAATTTCGAAAAGGAGGCGGTTATTTTGGTATTCTCTTCATATTAATATTTAATGTCATTCTTATACTTCAAAAATTTTAAAGAACAGCTAAAATAATGTCGAACTTTACTTTAAGTGAGGATAATCCACCCAATTTATGCGATATGATTCATTTTCCACTGAGAAATTGGATAATAGACAAGTTACATTTTCACTTTGTTCAAATTTTGGCAGACTTTTGATACGATTCTAGATGATTTTAATCATTATAGAGGGGGCCCTTGTTTTCTAATGATTGAAAAAAGACCTATGGGGCGCTTATGGGGGCAGGGGTGGTTAATAGGGATCATACGGTATGTGTATTACCGACTGGAAAAGTACACACATGTTTTTTATATATTGTTTTAGTCCATGAATCCAGCCAAAACATCTTATCTTTAGTGACCTTGAACTTGAGTCAAGATCATGTCCCACCCTGCATTATACATGTATCAACAATGTTTCACAGGTACAAATACTGTAGCGAATTTACAGTTTCTCTGTCAGTAACCTTGCCTTGTCTGAATGAATGGATATGTTCAGCCTTATTTTTTCTGAGCATATACAGTATCAAATCGGAAGAATTTATTAGGTTCAACACTATGATTTAGCTAAGGATTTAACTAGAAATATGTCTATAGGACATGGATGCATCGCCAAGTGTATATTAGTACATAATGCAACATTAAAATCTGTATTAATGTATGACGTTTGTTGAGAATATCTTGAATAGTTTCTTAAGGAGGCTCATTACACCACTTTTTGATGACGTAATACACAAAAAATAGACCTCCATTGTGTCGACCGGTTTGCTCAGGGGACGAGTAGTATAGGAACCTCTATAATATGACCCTGACCTTTAAAACGCTTTAAAAATAGATGAAACATGCGGTGTTGTAAACAGTGAAAACAGTTTACAGAAAAAAGAATTAGTGAAGTAACGGATTCATTATGCATAAACCAAGAAGAATTGCTTTTAGGCAGTAACAAAAGAAAGCAACAGTCAAATCTTCGCCAAACAAGTAATGTCAATTTCAAAGCCATGCATGCAGTGAACTATATCAATCACTGACATGTATGTATGGAGGAAATTCGAGTTAAAATCTACAACCTTGTTGAAATTAAAATTTTATTTCATTGCGCTATTTACTGTGTTGGTGTTAATTTACATATTTGTTTTATTGATTTAAATGTATACTCTGGCAATTTAAAGCTTTATTCTGAATTTTAGATGTAATATCAAACGTTCCATAGTGTTTTTAGTCTCGTTCAACCAGACCCTCGGCTGTCTCCGTAAATCTCCGACCACCCAGAGGGTCTGGTAAAGATACGTTATATCGTTTGTAACGCCAAAACGAGGCTTACCGAAATTCTGGTAAAGTTTTTGATTGGCTGAAAAGAACACACCTACATGATTTAAATAAATACATGATAAACCAGGAGAAAAATAACTTAAAGATGTAAAATTTATATGTCTAAAAGTTAAAGCTGTTAGATAGGAATTGTTTACGGTGTTGTCCACCAGTTATAGGTAAGTGTGTTTTATTATGTCTTGCAAATATTCTGTACGAAAGCAAAAGTGAAAGTAGAGTAGCCTTACCTGCGTAATACACATTCCTTCGATTGATATTGTAATTTCTCGTTTGGTGTCACAAATTAAAGATTAGTTTATTAATATAAAGTCACAAACCAGAAGAAGAAACACATATAACATTTGTTTTCAAAAAGGATCGTCAAAATGAAAACAAGATAGCGCCCTCTGACGGTTACAAACGCTTACGTGATTCTTTACCAGACTCTCTGCTGGTCGGAGTTTACGGAGACAGCCGAGCGTCTGGTTGAACGAGACTATAGTGTTTTGAGTCTTGGCTAATTAGGAAAGATAACTCTTGTGGACTTTCTATACCAAATATTTTTTAAATTCATTTGGATTTTTCATTTCGTTTAAACTTTCTTCATTCAATTTGACACATGTAATTCATTGAAATACATTCCTTGTCTCTTCAGAACACATTTTTTGAATGTTTTATGCATAGATTAAAAAGATAATGACATTAATTGTTTTCTAGGAGAAAATCATTATTTCTAATAAAATTATTATTAGGTATTATGAGGTATTTTCATTGTATGTACTTGTCTTAAGAAGATATCCATCATTTGACACTGAAAGTTCTGAAATTCTGTGAATAATAAACCTGAAATAAAACATTTCATTAAAATAAAACAAACACTAAAAAATTCTATAAAAAATATTTATGATATCAATACCCCCATCTGTATATTTGACATCTACATTATAAGTGGTGCTGTATTGAAATCTAAAATAAACTGTGGATGTAATGAGCCACCTTAAAAATTGAAATCTTAAAAAATGGATATAGATTATAAAATCCCCTTCAAATAATGCATAAGCTTACATAAAAATATCTCAAATGGTTTCTTTAATACTAAGAAAAATGCAAATTAAAGACAAGTGAGGTAAAGGTCACAGGAAAGTGCAAGGTTAAAGTGTATCAGCATACGAAAAGTTTGATAAAAATGTCTTGAATTAATTCTTCAAATCTGAGCACCGCCCGTGTGGCACAGGGGTTAGATCATCTGTTTAGACTAAGGTTTGGATATATCTCTCAAAAGTGTGCATATATTTTGGCCACTTTTGTACATGTAAAAATGAATACATGTATATAATTAAACTTGCATGTACAAGCATATTCCCGTAAAATTCTGCAATTGAAATATTCTTTTCGGGATTTCCCTTGAGTTGGAAACGTCACTTACTGGTACACTTACAATTATTTCCATTTATAACTATCGGAGTACACGATGTATTTTTAACACCGACATGCCCGCGGCTCTCTGCGGCCGCGCACGTGTGAACCAGGACTCGGGTGCAAAACGTTTTGAGTCTTTTGACACAAGGCAACAGAGGTGGATGTAAACTGTAATGACATAACTGAGGGCATTGTGGCATCGCACTTTGAAAAAAATGCATAAAACAAATATTAGACTTTTAGATTTTAATAATTTAAATTGAAATAGGATACACCCCCAAGGTAAGCCCCAATTTTTAATGCCTATATAATGTATTTGCAAAACATTTGTGTGAACCCCCCCCCCCCCCCCTACAGATGCTTATGCTTCACAGCAATATAACTGGTATGACGTTAAAATTTTTCAATAAATTTTAGTTTACATAAAATGCATGAAAACTGTAAAAAAAAAATAGTTCAGTAAAATAATTAAGGGAGAAAGAATTTTCAAAGTACATATATGGAAAAATCAAAATCGCTCACTTTCATATCGTAAAGTGACCATACCGAAGAGTTATCAAACAGGTTCAATTATTTATATCATATCTAAGATTTGCAAGAATATTGACCAAGCCATACACATTTTTCAAAGTGCATTTATATGGTCGATATTAACGCACTTTGAAAAGAAATTTTATTTTTTTAAAGTGCGTTGATTTGGTCCCAAATTTAACGCACTTTGAAAATATTTTTCAAAGTGTGTAATTTTTCAAAGTGCGTCGTAACAGGGCATACATAATGAAATTCGATTCGTGGACGATACATCACTGTTTGCAATTGTGGACACTAATATTAATACTCCTACATGATCTCTTAATTACAACCGATCTTGATAAAATAAAGAAATGGTCACAAATCTGATTTTTATTAGATTTTAGGTATAGGCGAATGTGTGTGGATATGTAGAAGGGATAGTGTAAATTAATTCATTCAAGATTTGCTAAATTGTTCGTTTGGGCGAAGGCTTAGAAAAAGTGACACACTGCGTGTACAGGTACACACCAGTAAATGTTATCATTAAAATAAAATTCGACAGACATTAATTAAATTTTACTGGTACATGTATTTTAGTTATCTGAAGACAACGTAATCTTCAGAGAATGAGGCATTATATAAATTATATTTTCTGTTTTTCATACCCCAGATTTCCTTTCTTTTGATTTACCGTTTACACAGGCCTGTGTTTTAACAGCTGTTCATAAATACTGTCAATTAATATATGATAGGAGAAAATCATACATCTGTCGGTAATTTATTTTTTTAGGGGGAAAATATAGGTGAAAATATATAGATTGACACCTTAGTATTTACCTGTGTAATTACGAGGTTACAAACCGTGACGATGCATGACTGGACAGGATGCACCCCTACTAATGTTATTGTGATTTAAATTCAAGACACGTGGTTTGGGTTGATCTATTCAAAGGTTATAGGGTAGAACCGGTTTTATAAATAAAATTGG